TGAATTGGTTGGATGATTTTTTCGTTCTCCCCAATTATATATCCAACTTCGAAGTTTTGATCCTCCTTTACTTTTAGTTTGAAAATTTAAATTATATTCTTCTTTATCAAGAAGTTTATCAAACGCATTTTTTGTATACTCTTCTATACTATTAGTATCTTCTAAAGGTGGTAAAAGATTTTCTGGTGGTGTAAGATTTTCTATATCAATTATATCAATATAGTTATCTTCAGATTGTAAACGTATTTCTATAGTTCTTTCGGTTGACATATTTAGAAATAATGCTAAACTTCGAAGTGTTTCTTTGTTAATTTTTTTTTTCTTTGTCTTGAAATAAAACCACGTTTTTTAAAGTAGTACACTAATACTAAATAGTTATATGTGCGACATAAATGTTAATCATTATAGGATAATCCGGATAATCTGGATAATCTAAAATTTTATTCATTTGTAAATTCTTAAATCCGGATATCCGGTTAAAATTAACCGGATACAAATTTGGATAATAGGATAATCCGGATAAATCCTAGGATTTTATCCGTTCAAGGAAAGCTCTAGTATTCAGGAGACATGATAACTTTAATTAAAAATAGGTATATACCGATAACCGGGCGTGCGTGTAATGCAGCTATAAATAGAATGTTATATATATTTTTTGCCCGTTCCTTATTTCTATCCTATTGGAAATAAAAAATTAAAATACCGTATTAGTGTAATTATTTTATTATTCATTATTTATTGTCCGAATGTCCGAAACGATACTAAAATTTCAGTCACGTGAGTAGTAAATAAGTCTGCCTAAGCCAATCACGTCGTACTATTATAAGCTCAGTGGTTTGATTAACATTTTTTAAATTTACTTACATAGACAATTTTTTTTTCTTATATTATAATGAGTCTTATCCCTCTTTTACTTGTAGTACTTTTTTAGCCTACGTCAAAATTTATTGTTATTTTATAACACATTTTACATCAAAAAAAAATTTGTATAGTGTTGAACCACTTCACTCCCGACAGTATTTACGGGTGACAGCCTTTTGGTTGAAAGAAAATACGGATCATTTTTATTTGATTGATTTTTTGGTTCTGGATAATCTGGTTTTGCCTAGGATTCGAATGAATAATAGGCTGGACGATTCCTCTCAAGATACTGGGGGATTGGACGAACTCGCACTAGTTTAGTTTTGTATCGTTATCTTTGTATTTCGTTCTACTAGCAGTTGCTTGTAGTTCCGGATCATGTCTTCATAATAAAAATAAAAATAAAATAAAATTATAAGCTCTGGAATACTTTCCATTCTAGTTAATATCTATTTAATTAAAAAAAATTTGGTCATATTTAGATTAACCTGTTTAAATTAACTTGAATTGTGTAACGTGTAGTATACGGATTGAGAATTTTTTGATCGTAGATTGTGAAATAACTTCATATCACTTACAAACAAGAAGAAATATAATAAATTTTTTTATTGACACAAAAAGACGTTTTTAATTATATAATTTAATATTTTTTTTCGTCCAAAATATTGATTTTAAATCACTAAATTTAATTTTTTTTCGTTTTCTTTATAACCTGAAAAACTTCGAAATCATCCATATCAAAGGTTCCTTTTGGGATACCATCAAGTTTGGGATAAGAACATGGATTATCATAACTTGTCTAAGTACCATCATTATGTAAATATAAGTAATTATAACCAATTATTGGACCGAAATATGGATAACAAACTATAGAATATTTATTACCATTACTATAACCTACTTTTGCCATTTGGCCGTTCTTTTTATTTATAAATGAGAATAAAAAACTATCTTTCGTGTGTTTAAAAGAACCATTTGTTGAATCCCATTCAAGTGGATTATATCCTCCAATTATTCCTTCAGAATTTTTAATTTTTAATACAATTATAGTAGCCCCCTATTATCACATTTTTTATGAAATTCTGTGGCCGTATTACCATCTCTACTAGCTCTATATAAAAGATTAAATTTATAGAGACTAAATTTTCTTTCCTAATTTCTATCAATCCAATTTGTAACATGTCTTTGATCAATTATCACGGAATTAATATCTTTTAAATATCTTGATGCTAAAATTATTAAGGTTTGGTTGTATTCAGGGATCATGCAATAATTCAAAAGATCATTTCTACATTCCTTTGATAAAATTTCTTCATAAGGTTTAATTTTGATCATATAAACCTTAGGAGATATATCATAAAATCTAATTAAAGGAATAAACCTGCAAATAATCCTTTTAAAGGTCATAATATCATTTTAATTCCATTTAGATACATCTCTACTAAAATTATATTCTTGTGCCAATCCCATTTAACTATATTTCCCAAATTTCAATTTCTTCTATATCTATATTCAAATCTTCACGTTTTAAAATGATTTCCAATAATTGACCGGATAGTTGAGTGAATTTATTTGAATTAAAAAAATTTTCTGGTTCAATACAAATTGTTTCCAACAAAGATCTCGTAAATTAATGAGAGATTCATAATAAAAAAACAGTTTGAAGAGCTCCAACCGGATCATTTTGTAATAATTGGCGATGTTCAACGATATAATCTTTAGTAAACCTAGTTAAATTTTCTAAATATAATTTATCTGAAGCGATTATAATATTTAAAAGTTCAGTTCCAATTTTGTCTGTGATATCAACATAACCAGCATAAAGATATCTAAAAAATGAAATATATTTGTAAAAATTGTATTTTATTTAAAATAACTTACTTAAGAATAACGTCAAAAACTTGAGGAGAAATGTTTAGTTTATAAATTACATATTTTTCATCTTTTTTCTCAACATTTTTATCAGAAATTATATTATCAAAATATTTGGATCTACATCATAAGATATTAGAATGACCTTAGAATCATGTTTTTTTCCAGCGTAAATGATAACATTATAATCAGTTTCAGTTTTAAGTAACTGTTCGAGCGCTTTGGTTACTTCAGTTTCGAAATGATATGTCATTTTATCAGTATTTATACGTATATAATTCATAAATTTTTTGATATTTTATTAATGTTAAAGGAGAAAGATTTAACGCAAGGATATTATTTTAAGTCTTTTATATTTCATTTTTCTTTTCATAAAAGCTCAATTAACTCCCATATAAGAATATATTGGGGATTTTTTTATAGAACAGAAAATCATCTCTGATTTTCAATTTCTTCTTTCATAACTTTGCATATAATTGCATGAAATTTCATTATAATGTAAATTTTAGCTATTTACGATAATCTATGTGATAAATTTCTTTGGAATTTCTTTTTTGGTGAAAAAAAAATTCCATTTTTTTCTTTATGCATATTCATTAAGCACAAATACAGACTTTTTGGAAACTTTTTGCAAACATTCTCCTGCGCCTCAGAAAAATAATATTTTTTATCGATCCAAATACTCAGCTTGCTTTATTTTCCTTGTAAATAATAAATCCCGTATTTTTTTAAAAATTATCTATTACTACATATGTTAATAAATATTCTCAAATAATAAAGGCAAAATAGAGTTTTACAAATAATTTTAAGCGATTTGCATGATTGCGTCATATGTGCATCAAATGACGCAAAAATAATATGATATTATGATTTTATTACGCTATATTATATTTTTTTGAAACTTATTAGTTACAAATACATTTGCATTATATGGAAAATTATATATATATTTTAAATAAAAAATTTGTCACAAAAAAAAAAAATTAATCTTTATAATGCAGAAAAAGTCTAGGAAAAATTGAATCCAAACTATCCTAAAATTGAATTTATAAAATAAATGTATTTAATCAATAAAAAATCATATTTAAATATTATTAATATTTTAGACAGTTATACTAAAAAAATACAGCTATGAACTTTGAAAAAGATTTTAAATGTAATATTTCTTTTTATTGCCTTATTCCTTACCAAACTTATGTTCANACAGTTATACTAAAAAAATACAGCTATGAACTTTGAAAAAGATTTTAAATGTAATATTTCTTTTTATTGCCTTATTCCTTACCAAACTTATGTTCATCTTCTTCTAACAAATGTATATTTGGGTAGTGTACCTTGGCAATCATAAGAAGGAACAAATACAATCCAATAATAAGAAGTCAGATAACAAATATAAAGTATATATCAAAAAAAAAATTTTTACATTTTTAAGATTTAATACACACTCTTTTTCAAAAACTCCTTTAAGAAATTTCTTCATTCTACCAGTGATTGTAAATCTCTGCATTTACCTATTAT